TTCGTCCGGGCAGAATGCATTCCTCTACTTTATTTACTAAGTATTGTACACAGCCCATTAGTGGCCTTATTTCGCCCAAAGAAGGCATGATTATTGTAATGGGCCTCCTAAGCCCATGGCTAGGAGCCCAAATCCACATTTGTACCTATAAATAGACCCCTTGGGGCTAGTTATAGGGGGTTGAAAAATATAATTACTCACTTTCTCTCTCTAGCTCTCACTTCTCTCTAGAATTAATACTTTATCATTTGGTGCTCTCGTTGAGAGATTAGAACAGATCAAGTGAGTACCCCTCGTCGCTACTAGACGCAACAGAATGACAAGAACTAGGTCAAAGAACACTGGTAGGAACGCCCCCCTGAACCAGGAAGGGCAGGAAAACGTTGCTGACAACGTCCCCAATGATCTCATCATCCAGGATGAGGATGCTCAGGAGGTCGAGCATGCGACGGCTGACCTTCGCGTCCAGCTCAACAGGACTGCTCCGGATGCTCGCATCGGACTTGAAGACAGACGCAATGCTGATCGCACTTCGGGCCAGCAGGCCTCTCACCCTGCTGCTCCCCAGATCAACCCGGCCGCATTATCGGCCATTGTTGCGAGCATCCTCCAGGACCCCAACGTCGTCAGCGCTCTTGTCGCAAAGACCGGGGAAAACAACACTCCTGTAACGGGGGAGGTCGCGACGGTGCCGCCGCCGCCACCTCGCCCACAAGGCGTCACCTTCTTCGGCAACAACGAGGACGTCCTCGCCGTGGACACCCACTCCCATACCGCCTCTCCTACCCGGGATACACCGGCCCAACCTCGCGGTAAAATCTCAGCCTTCAACAGGCTGGGTGACATCGCGAGCCGTCGGGTACCTACGGGAAGGGTCGCGGATCGGTTGGGTGGTCGCGAGCCGGGATCACCAAAGGAAAGCTTCGGGTCCGTTTCCCGGACAACGGATCGGCCCCGACCAGACAAAGGAAAAGGAAAGCTACATGATGACGATGCGCGTCACCAGATCAACTTGGCCCACGCGGCCCGGATCCAGACCCCGCTGGGTGGCGCTGCGGCCAACACGGACCCAAGGGACGAGATCATTGCCCGCCTAGAAAAGCGCCTCGCTGACATGGAGGCTCGGGAAGCCGCAGGGCGCGCAGCGGCCCATACATCCCAGCATCCCAACTACGACACGCTCCTGAACAAAGTCAGTGCCCTGGAAAGGGAATTGGCCAACCGTTGCGACAGGCCCGTCATTCAGATAAGAATAAGGACCCCCTTCTCCGCGAGAGTGCTCTCCGCTCCCATCCCGGAAAAGTACAAGGGAAATCCAATCAAGTCATATGACGGGCGCACCGATCCCCAGGAGCATTTCACCCGTTATCAGAACAATATGATGATGACAAACGCTTCTGAGGAATACATGTGCCGCTGGTTCCTCTCCACCTTGGAGGGACCAGCGTATGACTTGTTCAACAACCTTCCAGAGGCAAGCATTGACTCATGGCAGGACCTGGCTCAGCGCTTCCTCACCCACTTCGCCGGGAGGAAGCGCACGAAGAAGCATTTCGTTCATCTCCTGACCATCAAACAACAATCAGAGGAGACGCTCCGAGCCTTCCTCGATCGCTGGACGAGGGAAGCGGACGAGTGCGAAGGAGCCGATGAACGCACCCTCCTGGCCTTCCTCCGCGGAGCACTTCGGCCGAGTCACTTCGCCAGAAGTCTGTTCACGGAGCCCCCGCGGTCATACCTCGCGGCGCTCCGACGCAGAGACAGGCACGCTGATGCCGACGAACTCCTTAGCCAGAAGAAGGGTGGGGAGAAGCAACAAAAGAAGGACCCCTCGTCCAACCCCCACCATGCGCCAGCCAACAAGGGGAAGAACCAGCAAAAGAAGGCACACCAGGAGCCAGGCGGACAACGAAGGGAGGATCGTTCATGGCGTCCAAAACTGGAGGCACAACGTATCCCCCTCACCCACTCGGTGAGCGTCGTCCTTGACCACGCTGAGGCGCAGGGCCTCATTGTAAAGGACCCCAGATCAGAGGAGGAAATATTTGCGGTCCACAAAGGAGGGACATATTGCAAGTACCACCGCCAGACATCCCACAAGACCGAGGATTGCACCACCCTGAAGAGGCACATTGACGGCCTCGTCCGACAGGGGGAACTTTCCCAATTTGTCAAGGGTGCCCCCAAGAGTAACACTTGGGTTAACCCCGGCAAAAGGGGGGAAGGATCCTCCGGGAAAAAGAGGGAGATCGGCGCCCTCAGTGAAGATGAGGACGAAGAACCCCGCCAGAAGAAACATCACATTCATATCATCGTCGGCGGGAACACAGGGGGGGACTCGGCTACCCAACGGAAAAAATGGGCTCAATCCCTATACGTTGGTGAGGTGACCCATACCCCCCCTCAGCCAAAGCGACGGCATGTGGAGGCCATGACCTTCACTGACAAGGACCTCCCCTGCGGCCCCTTGCCCCACAGAGACGCCCTCGTCGTCAAATGCGAGATTGGCAACAACATCATCCACCGCAACTACATTGACACCGGCAGTTCCGTCAACGTGATGTATGTTGATACATTCAGGCAGCTGAAGCTGAAGAAAACCGAGCTCCGGCCGATACGGACTCCGTTATCCGGCTTCACCGGGGACTCTATCGACGCCGAGGGCACGATAGTGCTTCCCGTTGTGGTCGGTGACGGTACCTATCAGGCGAAGATTGATATGGAGTTCGTGGTCGTCAATTTGGACAGCGCCCACAACATGATCTGGGGCCGACCGGCCTTGGAGGACCTTGAGGCCATCATCTCCATGAAACACCTATGCCTCAAGTTTCCCACCAAGGCCGGCGTCGGCTATGCCAGAGGAAATCAGAAGATAGCCAGGGCTTGCTACCTCAAGCTCACCAGGAAGATCAATGAGGCCGAGGAGCGGATAGACACTATCACCACCGTCTCGGCCGAAGAAGACACACCAAAGGCCGAACCGGTCGGGGACGTGGAAGACGTTCCGCTGGACGTCTCTCGGCCGGAACGCATGCTAAAGATCGGGACCCAGCTCCCCCAACAGATCCGAAGAGACATCCTCTCTGTCCTGAGAGCGTACGCCATCGTCTTCGCATGGGGACCAGAGGACATGCCGGGCATCAGCCCAAAAGTGATCACACATCGGCTCTCAGTCGACCCGGCCTCCTCCCCCATCAAGCAAAAGAAGCGCTACCTCTCAGCCGACAGGAGAGAATTCGTCAAGACCGAGGTGGCCATGCTGCTATCCATCAAGCACATCAAAGAGGTGAAGTACCCCACGTGGTTGGCGAACGTCGTCCTCGCACCAAAGCCGCCCACGTTCAGAATGTGTGTCGATTACACCGACCTGAACAAGGCGTGTCCGATGGACCCATTCCCTCTCCCCAACATTGATCAGTTGGTGGATGAGACGGCAGGGTGCGAGTTGATGTCGTTCCTCGACGCGTTCAGAGGGTACCACCAGATATCAATGCATGAAGATGACGCCGAGAAAACTGCTTTCATGACCCCGGAGAGAATCTTTTGCTACCTCGTCATGGCCTTTGGGCTCAAGAATTCCGGCGCCACTTATACAAGAATGGTAGCCCGGGTTTTTAGAGCAGTCTTAGGCCGGACAATGGAAGCATACGTCGATGATATGATCGTCAAGAGCAAACAATCCACAACTCATGCCGACGACCTCCGGGGCATCTTCGAGATCATGAAGAGATACAACCTCCGACTCAACCCGAAGAAATGCACCTTCAGCGTCCAGGGAGGTAAATTCTTGGGGTACCTGGTCAGCCGAAGGGGCATTGAAGTGAACCCAGAAAAGATACAAGACATTGTCAACATGGAGCCACCCCGCAACATAAAGGAGGTGCAACGGCTGACGGGACGCCTCGCGGCCCTGAACCGTTTCCTCTCAAAATCCGCAGAGAAGTCACTCCCTTTCTTTCAAATAATGAGGAAAGCCACCAGCTTCCAATGGACAGCGGAGTGCCAACAAGCCTTTGAAGAGCTGAAACAATATCTCGCCTCCCCACCCGTCCTATCCAAGCCCCAACCCGGCGAGACTCTATTCCTCTACTTAGGAGTGAGCACGTCGGCCATCAGCTCCGTACTAATCAGGGAGGACGACGGAGCCCAAAAGGCGATATTCTATGTCAGCAAGACGCTGCGGGAGGCCGAGCTCAGGTACTCCCCCATCGAGAAGACGGTGCTGGCCATCGTCCACACGGTGAAGAAGCTAGGGCACTATTTCCAGGCTCACCCCGTCCACGTCCTCACGCATCAGCCGTTGGGCGCCCTCATGAGGAGCCCAACCAGCTCACCAAGGATGATCAAGTGGGCAATATTCTTGAGCCAGTACCAGATTGAGATAAAGCCGAGGCCATCCATCAAAGGGCAAGCCTTGGCTGACTTTGTCACCGAGTGCACGGCAAGGGAGACGGCCGTTACCACCACAGGAGCTGAACCAAACGAGGTCTGGACCCTATACACAGACGGGTCCTCAGCCACCAAAGCTTGTGGGGGTGGCGTCGTCCTCATCTCCCCAGAAGGATTCAGAGCGTACTACGCCATCCGCTTCAACTTCAAAGTATCCAACAATGAGGCCGAGTATGAAGCACTCCTCAGCGGGCTCAGGCTAGCCGCTGGCCTCAAAGCACGCCACATCAGAATCAAATGCGACTCCAAACTCGTGGTGAACCAGCTGGAGGGTTCCTACGAGGCCAAGGAAGAGAGGATGAAGCAATACAAGGAGGCCGCTGCGGAATTGCTCAAGGCGTTCGATACCTACGAGATCACTCAGATCCCAAGGGCGGAGAACGCCGAGGCCGACATACTCTCCAAACTCAGCTCAGACACCCCTGAGCACATCTCCAAGATAGCTAATGTGGAGGAGTTGAACATGTCAAGCATGATGGTACAAAAATGGGTATAGTAGTGGGTACAAAAAGATTTTTCCTTAATTATCAGTAATACAAGTACTCCGTATGAGCTAGTAGAAAACTAGAAATGAAAGGCTATTAGGCTATTAGCCCTAGAGTAAAATTAGTTCTATAAGGAGTTTTTGCTGTGAGAAGGCTGCTGCTCGACGCAGGGAGCGCTGGAGTGCTGAGGCTGCGAGTCCCATGTGAGGCAGCTAGGTAATTTTAATTTTCACGGAGTATTTTTCACTTTTCTGAATTTGTTTAGCTTTCAATGGTTTGTAAGTTCGTTGACTTATTGGTGTGATGAATTGCTATGTAAGTGGTGCGTAACCAGTAACCTGTGTTTTACTGTTCGTACAGTCCGTGTTTGTACTTCGTGATTGTGTTTCATCGTCTCAATGAGTGAAAAGAGCTTAGCTGAAGAAACTCAAACTCAAGAATCGGGAGAAAGTGATTTAGGCAAAGGAGAAGAATTTGGAGCAAGTTTAGAAATTTATTCTCAGGAAAATGTTAGGGAAAACCGTCGAACTTCAATTGATAGGATCAGTGCATTGCCGGATTGCTTACTTGTTCACATCATATCTTTTTTGGGCCTGAAGAAAGCTGCTGCTACGAGTATTTTGGGGAAAAGATGGCAGTTTCTTTGGACTGAATTGCGGAACCTTGGATTCGAATTCTATGGTTGGGGTGAGAGTAAGGAAGCTAAGAATGCAATTGACTTTGTGGCTTGGGTTAATGGGATCATTTCTACTCATCGTGGAAATTATCTCGAGAAGATGACAGTTGATTTCAAGTTTGAAGATTGCTTTGCTCAAGATGTTGATAATTGGCTCCAGTTTGCCTTGAAAAATAAGGTGAAAGAACTCCGTTGGAACATGGGCTACAACGAAGATTGCTACATTCTTCGTGAAATGATATATTCGAATTCATCCTTGACATCATTATCTTTGAATCATTGCATTTTGGTCCCTGAGAGAACAATCCAGTGGTCATCATTGACTAAATTAGAGATATCAAGAGTAAATTTGCCTCAGCCTTTAGTTGAAAAGATATTGTCAGGCTGTCCTGTTTTGACTTCTTTGGATCTGAGTGAGTGTTGGGGGTTCACTTGTTTGGAGATCAACTCTCAGAATCTATGTAAACTGATGGTAACAGACCCTTTAATTGAAAACAATGGGGCTTCCCTGCACATTTCAGCACCATATATAAAATATTTGAGTCTTTCGTTGGATCCTATAGGAAGGAAAATAAAGATTAGAGACATCTCATCTCTTGTCACTGCTCATTTTAATTTTATTGATAATTCTTGGGATTTTATATTACCTGAGGATATGCTCCGTAGTACAAAGGAATTTTTTGAACAGATTTACAATGTCAAGGAGCTTGATTTGGGTCCTGAACCTCTAAAGGTATGTATTACTGCTCCAAGCTTTTTACCATTCTTTCGTTTAAAAAATTGAAATTTAAATTATCTAGCTAAACTTATGAAAAAGGTCAATGTGTTAGACACAAATACAAATCCAAGCTAAAGCAGTAAACGGACACACAGATCTGATCGGAAATATGCTGAGAATAGGGTTTATTGATAGTGAAGGTAAACCGTAGGCAACATGTACAAGACTCTTAGGCAACTGGGACTCTCAAATGTTAGACACAGATACAAAAAGCTAAAGCAGTAAACGGACACACAGATCTGATCGGAAATATGCTGAGAATAGGGTTTATTGATAGTGAAGGTAAACCGTAGGCAACATGTACAAGACTCTTAGGCAACTGGGACTCTCAAGGCAACATTCAATCCAAAATAACAGTCTCCTTACAATTTCTAACTGTAGTCTATTTATAGTAAGGAAGGCTAGCCCCCCGGTAGCTATTAGCTCATAACAAACTAGACTAATAACAACCCTACTTCCTTCTAGAATACACTATATTAGAGTATTTATCTCCTCTCTTCAGATCAGTAAAGTCTCTATCACAATGTAGAATTAATTTACGTTGTCTCACAATAGGGCTAGTCTCGTGAGATATTCATACTTCCAACAAGTAGTCAACTCCGAAATTCATTAGGTTAAGTTGTTGCTCATTGTTTTCAAATGCAAACACTATCATTAACCTGCTAGAGTTGTTATTCTTATGCAACCATGTCGTTATAATGATAATACAGTTGATAAATCAAGTGGACAAATACATCTGATTCGCTAGTCTCATGGCTTTAAGTGATTTGATATATTCATATATCTATAGATACTTCTTGTATAAAGTTGGAGAGTAAACATTTTAGTTGAGGACAACGAGTTTAGAAAAGAATTGTGCATAACCAACTTCTAAAAAGTGTGCATGCATGTAATATTTGATAGACAAGATATATATCATAATAGAATTACCATGAGGAGTGTCATGGATGTATTAGGTGTTTCCAAGAAAGAGTTACAATTAACTAACGTAATTGATACCAAGCTTGTTAGTTTGCCAGTAATACGGATGTAACATTGGGAGAATAAAGTATCTTGAGTTATCTTAGTGTTATACTGTTATCTCTTATAGTCACATCCTGAGTTGGTGGTAGTCTTTTTTTTTGTGTGCTGACAGCAGAAATCATTTGTTTTGCTCCTATGATATCATTCACATATTGAAGTGAAGTGTGGTTTAAACTCTGGAAGTTAGTTGAGGAAGAAATAAATATTCAAAGAAACTGAAAACTCAATTAAAGTAAACTGAACTACAACCTAAAAAAACTAAACCGCAAAACAAAAACGAACCATTACCTACTGCTAGTAAACGAACTGTAATTATTTGGCTCATTTTCAGTTTCGTCCTTTCAAGCCAAGCCAACTAAACCAAACTTTTAAATTATGAAATTTTCTTTGTTGACGATTAAGCATTAATTATAATATTTTTTTTAGCTTTTGATTTTTTGTAATACTAACAAATTAATTTTTGGTGTTATATTTATTCTTTAATTTTGTTTAAAATATTCATTTACACTTGCATTCGCTACTATAATAAAACTATATTGATCTATCATTTTTTATTTACGCGTTTTGTAGTTTGTTGCATAATGATGGTGTATCTTTACTTATTCGTAGTACCTTTTTTTGTATCCTATTTTTTTTTATTGTGAGAACTAATAAATATTTTCAACTAGACCCCATAAAACTTACTACCTCCGTCCCGTTGGAAGGTTTCCATCGCAAAATGGCACGGTTATTTAGATAATAATTAAATAAAGTACTTCGGGTATATTTTGAGAAAAAATTTTAATAGGTATATATTATAATCTAGTTAGTATTGATAACTGTGATGTTATAAATGTATTATTTTTAATATTTAATGATTAATTTGTCACTTAACATTGTTAATTATTTCCTAAAATTGAAATGAGAACCTTTATATGAGACGTCCAGAAAAGTTTTTCGAATGGGAACCTTTAAATGGGAACCTTCTAAATTCTAATGGGACGGAGGAGTATTTTCATGAACTTTTTTCGAACTAAATTAAAAAACTTTGAAGTTAAGAACATAATCAACATATATTCTTGTCTAGAACAAATTCTCTGTAAAGGTATCACCAAACATAAAAGTTTTTCGTTTGATTAAATGAAAAAGAAGAACAAGTACATAAGTTTTAAAAACAACAATTTTTTTTAACTTTCCTTTTTTATGCACAACACTATATATCGAATCAAACTTTTTACTTTGATTTCGTTTTTTTATTATTATTTTGGGTCAAAACGGAACCAACCCCTATTTTAAAGCCATTTTCGTGTGTTGAACATATACATGTTTATCTACTTTATGTTGCATATTGAATATAATACAAAGCATATAACTACAGTATATGTGTTTTTTGTGCAACATGTAAAGTAGGCTCTAGCTGCGTTGGTGCTCAATGGTTGGCAGCTTCCAAAATATAAGCTAAGGTGCTTGAATATAGGTCTGTTATGTGATGCTGGGCAAGTCATTCCTGGCATTTTAAACGTGCTAGAATCCTCTCCAGACATTGAGACATTGGTCATTGATTCTTATGAGCCCGAAGATGTAAGTGTTAACTGCTCAAGTCTTGATTTTTGGTATGAAGATTTGTTTAATTTTGTTTGACGTAATTAATATACTCCGTATATACTCTGTACTTGTTACAATTTATGATAAATAAATGGGCTTTTGCCTTCAATATTACTAAATTAAAGCCACTTTTCCAAAATGTAACCATTTTTCAAAAAGACAAAAAAGTGACTAAGAAGGTCACATATTTGAAAAACCATACAGTCACTGTAATATTTTATGTCACTGCCCGTGTCACTGTAGCCACCGCCCGTGTCACTGTAGCCACCGCCCGTGTCACTGTAGCCACCGCCCGTGTCACTGTAGCCACCGCCCGTGTCACTGTAGCCACCGCCCGTGTCACTGTAGCCACCGCCCGTGTCACTGTAGCCACCGCCTGTGTCACTGTAGCCACCGCCTGTGTCACTGTAGCCACCGCCTGTGTCACCATAGCCACCGCCTGTGTCACCATAGCCACCGCCACACTGCACTGCTGGCCACCGCCGCAAGCCACAATGACACTGCCACGACTCAATTATCGCCGCTGCACCACTTCATCTGGTGACCACTGCGTAGCCCCCGGCGACCACAGGACCCACGCCCCCGGCCACCACTGGACCCACGCCCCCGGCTTGCACCATCCCTACTGCCCCTCCCTGTTGCAGTCACGAACTCACGACCACAACTCTGTCGGCCACCACCAGTGACCAGCGTACCCAAACCGCCACCGACCACCACCAACCATCACCGACCACCCTGAACTGACTCCCATAGCCCCTCCTTGCCCCAACCCCCAGCCAACCTCTTCTCTGACTACTGCCACTATCTCACCCCCAGCCCTACCCTACCACAATCCCACCCCCACCCCAATCAGATTCCGGCTTCACCCCCACCCCAATCAGATTCCGGCCGCACCCCCTTCTACCAGCTAACCACTGCCTCACCACCGCTCAGCCTTGGTGAACCCTAACCAAATCTAGGTGGGATTAGATCTGAAGGTCTAACGGCCACCATCCTTCAGATCTGCTACGGATTCGGCCGATTGAGAAGAAAGGAGAAGAAGATATGAGTGGAGGCGAGGTGACGGGATGGGCGGCGGCAGAGTTCGAGGTGGTGGCTTTATCCATGGCGGCAGCGGAGCTTACATGCGGCGGATTGTCCATGGCGACAGTTTGCTCATAGGCGAGATGCAAGAATCGAGAAGGATGAGATGCGGAGGAGATTGACGTTGCACTGTGTGTTGAAGCTTTGCCGTCCATGGATTCGTGCACAGGAGGAATGAAGAGGCTGAGCGATGATTTTTTTGAGAAGAAGAAGTGGAGCGGACGATTTTAGAAGAAGCGGAAGTCACTTTTCCGTATAAAAATAATTGAGTCATATTCGTGTCTAATAGAAGTTGTGAGATAATATGTGTGCCATTTTTTCTAAATAAATTATGCGTTCACTCCACATTATTAAATATAAGTTTGTCCAAAATATGTTGGGGATAAGGGCCAAAAATGACACTAAGGTTTTTAATAAAACTCGGATTGGACACTTAGGTTATTAGTAGACCAAATTAACACATATTGAAGCTTTTGGGTTGATTTTTAGCCATCCACTAACTTTCCCCTTAAACGGGCGTTTCCCCTACTAACAAACGCCACTCCCTGGTACTAATCATCACAACCTAAAGACGAAGGAAAACTGAAAGATGGCCGTCGGCGAGCAGCAAGGGAGACAGCCAGTGTTGGCGGAGTGTGGTAATCAGAATGGCTGCGTCGACGACCTCATCCTGGCGGCGCTTATTAGGAAAGAGACAGTCGCCGCCAACTCCTCTTCGTCTTCTTCAACCACCGCAGCTCGCTTCCTTCCGCCCGGCCACCTTCATTTCTCGATGGGCTCTGTATCTCGCCGGAGGACCATCGATCACCACCACTTGCATAGATTCTTCTTATTTCGCTTCGAAGTCCGCTACCACCACCGCAGCTTTGTGTTGCTCTTCTGCAGCCACACCAACCTCATTTACTTCGGAGTTCACTTCTATTATTATCGACGGCAAGAAACTTTCAAAAGAAATCAGAGACGAAATTAGTGCTGAGATAACTAAGATGAAGATTTTATAGGGCTCATTCCTGGTCTGGCAGTCATTCTGGTTGGCGACAGGAAGGATTCTGCAACTTATGTTCGCAACAAGAAAAAGGCATGTCAAGATGTGGGGATCAGTTCCTATGAGGTGCGATTACATGAAGATTCAACAGAAGAGGAAGTTCTTAAGCATATATCCAGATTCAACGATAATCCATCCATCCATGGTATTCTTGTCCAGTTGCCTCTACCTTTGCATATGATGTCTGCATAATAGGTGGGTGATGAGAATTAGGGTTCTTGTGTCTGTGTTTATTGGGGTGTGGTTTAATAGCAGGGAAAAGGCGTCTTGCAGAGAAACGCCCGTTTAACAGGAAAGTTAGTGGATGGCTAAAAATCAAGTCAAAAGCTTTAATATGTGTTTATTTGGTCTAGTAAAAAGCTAGATGTCCGATCCGAGATTCATTAAAAACGTTAGTGTTATTTTTGGCCCTTCTCCCAAATATGTTGTGATTCTAGTTGGACAGTAACTGGGCCCCACCTGCGAAGGATGATTTGGATTGCGACTTATTGCATCTGAAGACGATCAAAATGATTAAGCTGGTAGATCCAGAACTTGACGGTGAACCAATGCTTACGTTGGCTCGAATCCTTCTTAAGAGGACACCAGTATTGGAAGAGATGGACATATATGTTAAGATTGAAGATGCAGATGTCTTTGTCAAGATAGGACAAACCTTGCTGAGTTACCCCCGATCCTCACCAAAGGCTGTCATCGATCTGTATTAAATTGTTGGCTTTTATGTGTAATGTGTTCATTTTCTAAACTACGCAGAATATCTATTACAGCTACTCTACTTCTCCCCCTATTATGCCTAGTTTGCCACTACTGGCATGTTTGAGATGTAACTGTCTAGTCATTGTATTTTGTATCATTGTATTTCAAACGTTTGACCATGGTAGAAAATTTGGTAGCAGATTATAAATAGGCATGGCAAAAAAACCTTTCCAGCAAGGACTTGCCATTCCCTAAAATATTACGGAGTATGTGCCTGGCGCCTGCCCGCCCTATCATTCAGATTAGTTTGTACTGTGTATGTGAACAAAAAACATGCAATCCTACTTGCCTCAACCTACCCTGCCGTGTATAAATAATTTCACAATATTTTAATTTTTTTTATAGATATATACGTACATATATGTATGTGTGTATATAATAACCCATAATTGTTTTGGTCTTGCAATATATTAGCATTAATCTCTGAGGTGGATGAATAGTTAGGACGTTATTTACTTGGACTAGAATTTTCTGGCCTAATCTGGTCACTGTGTATTTTGTTATTGTCCAAGTCTGATATGGTCTTTGACTAAAAACAGTCCAAGTAAAAACATAGTTATTTATCAATATTCATTTTATTTATATTTAGTTTTTTCTATTGAGAGACTGAAAAGTAATACTCGTGAGTTTAGAGTAGACAAATATATGACTATATTTGCATGCGGACAAAAAAGATATCCAACCGAAAACTCAAGATTACCTCAGCCTTCATCCACTCGATCCGCTTCTCTTTCATGTTCCTCGGCCTATCTCCAAGTGAGATCTCTCGTCTCTCTGCCTATCTCTAGATTGGCGCCTCCACCCTTGTTGCATCCACAGTGGCAACGCCTACTCCACATGTTTCCCATTCTTTTCGTTTTTCATCCTCTATATGGTGATTGCTGAAGGGAGACAACTCTGGTACCCATTTAAAAAATGGGGGTACCGTACCTACCATTTACATGATTGGTCCAAATCATTAAATCATTTTTAATTTAGATTTAAACAAATCAACTGCAACATTCTGATTGGTCCAAGTAGACAAAGGTATGATACCTTTTGGGTACCATAGAATCTACCTTGCTGAAGATGGTGGTGTGGTGGGTAGTTAGATGATTTCGTGTATACATTTTTGTACTTGCGTGTTTGTGTGGTTTTATTTTAATTTATATTTATATTTTCTGTGCTTTGATTGTGATTATAGACCAGAGTTGGTCCAAAATGCAACAATAGATAAACAAATCATTAGTTAATAATTACACGTTTTGTTACAAGTTACCTACATATTTTTTTAAATTACTCATTCACCTGTTTTGATGAAATGTGGGTTGAGTTTGAGAAGTGTCACTATGATTATTTTAGAGTAACTTAGTTTATGAGGTTTGGACTTTTCTTAATAATTTAACATGAGATACCATAGGTTAAATTTTTCCAATTTGTTGTTTTAATAGCCGCATTACTGAATTTTATGCAGTTTAAGATGTTTATCTTAATATATTAGGCCTTAATAACCTTCTTGAACATTTATCTGAACTTGACACATTTATAAATGATTTAGGCCATATTTGTTTACCCATGAATCCAACCAAACATTATCCCTTTGTAATATAGAAACATTTTCAAATTTGTATACTTTTGTATTTGTTGTTTATTTTGACATTTTGTTTGGGGACAAATAAAAGGCTAAGGATGTTTTCTTTTGTTCTGTTTTCAGTCACAGACCAGATCAGAATTAAACAGATCAGACTAGACCAGACTTCTATAGTTATAAAATACACAGAGACCAGACGTTTACCAGACCAGACCAGTTCAAACCAGACCATATCAGACTTAAACAGACGAGACTAGACCAGATCATCAAATTTCAGTCCAAAAGAAAACATCCTAAGTGTAAAGGATTTGATGATTTTACAAACTTTTCTTGAGGATTTTACACACTTTGTAGGCTTGCTTTGTTGATAATTTTAGTTATAAAAATAATATATATTTGGACATAGAAGGCAAATCATATCAGGTTCGCTTGACAGGAACCGCTGTTAGGCCGAGGTCATTTGGGACCATTTCTGGTGGAATTTTTTTATGAAATGTTTTGAGTATGTTCTTCATCAAGTGTAGTTTATGCCCACCAAATTTCAGCTAAAAGTCAATCGGGGAGGCGGACCCGACTAGACCGCTACGCTTTGGACATATATGTATTATTTCTAGGTACTTTTGATTATATCGTACACCTGATTGTACAATGCTCATTGTATAATCAGGTACTTTGTAATTAATCACAACTCTAATGAGTAATGACAAACGTTAGATGTTACGTTCTGCTTATTATTCATTCCCTCTGTGCACGACTTGCTACTCCTAGGAATCTAAGATCTTCTTATTTTTTTTTTAAAAAGGTGGTCTATCTAGGGTTCTTCCTAGCCAAGGGCGGAGATAGGAGTGGGCCAACCTTGGCCCTGACCCAACCCAAATTTAAAAAATGTCATTTTTTTTAGTGTAAAAAATTTTGAGCAAAAAATTTTCCAAAAAAATTCTTTGTATCGGTCCAGTCTATTACGGTTACCGTATTTTCCCTTATTTTCCCTACAAGGCAACTATCATCATGTGGATTCTTAGGCACATATTATGAGGAGCGTACCATCATTATCACTAAAGAAGATATTTTATTTTTCTTTCCTTTGTAATTCTTTCTCCTTATTTACCACCAAACGTGCTTGTATAAATTCGAGTAGATGATCAAATGTAATGTACAGTTCATTCATCTATACTACGAACATATTCTTGTTCTCCAGTTTTCATTTATAATCATATAATATTTGTCATGGTATCAGAGCCGAAATCCTGTCAATATTCTTAGAAAATAATTCTTAGTTTCTTGGTCACAAAATGGCCGCGGGCAATAAAGATGATACATCGAGTAACCAAACACCGGTTATTGATTCTATGTCTCCATATTTCATCCAATCCGGTGATAAGCCCGGAGATGTTTTTGTAACTTCGCTTCTACGAGATGGCAATTACGGAGATTGGCTCGATGAAATGAGCAATGCACTATATGCTAAAAACAAATTTGGATTTGTTAATGGGGACATCCCGATGCCGGCGTCCGATTCACCATATTTGCCGTATTGGCAACGAGCCAATGCCATGGTTAAGGGTTGGCTTAACAGTAGCATGGAGCTTGAACTAAGGCAAAGTGTGAAATTCAAGACGGCGGCGGAGATATGGAAGGATCTTGAAGAACGTTTTGGCAAGGAAAGCACACCTCGTGCATATGAGTTGCGCATCATGTTGAGCGGAACGCGACAAGGCGGACAATCTATATCGGCATATTTTAGTCGGCTATGACGCATATGGGATGAGATGGCATCCCTCTCCAAGACCCCGTTCGTGTGGTAAATGCTCTTGCAATATCACCAAAAAAATTAATGAGGCTCGAGATAGGGATCGTCTATATGACTTTCTTATGGGTCTAGACGACTACTACAGTCAACTTAAATCCCAAATATTGGCCACGCAGCCGATCCCAACCTTGACTGCTGCCTACCATCTCATATCCGAGGGGGAGCAGCACCGTATGATTGCAACATCACGCAAAGCAGGACTTGAAGGTTCAGCCTTTCAAGCACAAGCAAAATCCACTTCTGATCCAAATCGGAAAATAAATGGAAAGGAGGTCCGCTACTGTACCCACTGTGGCAAAAGCAACCATACACATGAGACGTGCTTTGAGATAATTGGCTACCCAGCCAATTGGAATACTCGCACCAAAGACGGAAGACCCCAGGGAAGTCGCGTAGCTGATCAACGTTCCACTCGGTCCAATGACCGTTTTGGAAACCCACAAAAGCGGGGGGGACCACCTCATGTAGCGCACGTCGAGCAGCCAACAGATAATGTTTTGGGTTTCTCAGACGAACAGCTCCAACGATTGGCTCAATTCATGCGTGCTGAATTCTTCCAGGGAACTACATCTGAGGATCACTCCGATCCACAAATTAATATGGCAGGTAAAATGGATTTTCAGCAAACATGGATAATAGACTCGGGGGCAACGGAGCATATTACGTGTGACGAAGCACTCTTAACCAACATCATGGCCAATCCATCGGAGTCCCCTGTCCGCATACCTAATGGTGATATCGTGGCGGTTCATTATGTTGGCAGTGTCGAATTGTCCAACGGCATGAAACTCTCACGCGTTTTATTTATTCCGTCTTTTCGGTGCAATTTATTATCTGTCAGCCGCCTCACCAGCGAGCATAATTGTGCATTTATTTTTTTCCGGGATTTTTGTGTATTGCAGGCCTTACCCTCGAGGAAGCCGATTGGAGTGGGTAGATTCTACAATGGGTTGTATTATTTGGAGCCTTTTAACGAGCGGGTGGCAATGTTAGTTTCTCCACATGCTGAGGTATGGCATCATCGTCTCGGCCATGCTCCCGATGATAGACTTCGCCACATAACTCTCTTTCAAGGCTTCAAACGAAATAATATTTTTTGTGATTCTTGTATTCGGGCCAAGCAGACCCGTCTGCCTTTTACTCATAGTACTATTAAAACGCGACACAGTTTTGATTTAATTCATTGCGACATCTGGGGAGGGTACAAGTGTAATTCTCTCACAGGCGCTCGTTATTTCCTTTCTATCGTGGATGACTTTACTCGTGGAGTCTGGGTTTACCTTATGAATAATAAATCTGATGTTGGTCGTTTTTTAATGCATTTTTATAACATGGTGCGCACACAATTTGAGCGTTCCATAAAATGCATTCGCACTGATAATGGATTAGAGTTTCAGACTCACATTCTGCTTGATTTTTATAGCAATAATGGAATTATTCTGGAAACGTCATGTACTGACACTCCACAGCAGAATGGTGTTGTGGAGCGAAAACATCGACACATACTTGAGGTGGCCAGAGCCTTACGTTTTCGGTCGGGCTTACCAATCGAATTTTGGGGTGAATGTATTCTTACCGCAGTATACATCATTAATCGATTGCCCACTCCCGTCATTTCAAATAAAAGCCCATATGAATTATTGTTCAATAAGGTACCCGATTACAAACACCTCCGGAGTTTTGGGTGTCTGGTCTATGCTCATAATAACAAAAGAAAAGATAAGTTTGGCGAAAGGGGGAGCCCTTGTATTTTTGTGGGGTATCCGGTTGGCCAAAAGGCCTACCGAGTTTTTGATCTTCACACTCGGCAGTTGTATAGCTCAAGGGACGTAACCTTTTTTGAAGACATTTTTCCTTTCAAGGGCGTCACCTCTCCGGATAATTTTGATTTGCATATACGTATGGCATATGAATATGTTATGGGGACTCACACCACTCCTTTGGTCCCATATCCAACACGGCCTGCCATCAGAGGTACGCATCCCATAGAGCCACCACTCCCTGTAAGCAGTCTGCCAAGTACAAATCATCCTCCAGCTCATAATATGCCCCCAGACTCTAGCACTATGTCATCACCGCCACATGATATTCCTAGTGGGGTTTCTGAAGCAGAATCCTCTAGTTATGCACCGCCTATCACACGGCGAAGCGAGCGAGTTCGTCAACGGCCCAAACACTTGGATAATTATGATATTACATTGCCACCCTCGCTCACCGGGCAGAATTCTACCGCTCCTTCGGTCAACTCGACGGTATATCCTCTTACACACTTTCTTTCATATAAAAATTTCTCTTCAGCTCACCGTGCTTTTTTAGCGGCCATCACATCACGTGATGAGCCGAAACATTTTTCTGAAGCTATTAAAGATCCCATGTGGCGGGTGGCCATGCAACAAGAGGTCAAAGCACTTGAGGCAAACGACACATGGGACTTAGTCTCATTACCACCTGGAAAGAAAATTGTGGACTCCAAATGGGTCTACAAGATTAAATATAAACCCGATGGAGCAGTGGAAAGATACAAAGCTCGTCTCGTTGCCAAAGGCTTTACTCAAATTGAAGGGGTGGATTTCCATGAGACTTTTGCCCCGGTTGCGAAGCTCGTGACCGTACGGTGCCTACTTGCCGTTGCAGCTAAAAATAAATGGATTGTCCATCAACTTGACGTCAACAATGCCTTTTTGCATGGCGACCTCCATGAAGATGTTTACATGCGCATTCCGCAAGGATTCGCTAAACCCAGAGATTCTCGTGTTTGTAAACTCAAAAAGTCCCTATATGGTCTCCGACAGGCATCCCGAAATTGGTATCAAAAATTCACCCAAGCACTCTCTCTTATTGGATTTCGCCAATCTCGGGCTGACCATTCCCTGTTCATTTACCGTCACGGTCATGTTTACACTGCCGCCCTCATTTATGTTGATGATGTCTTGCTTGCCGGCACTGATATGGCCCACATTAGTCAAGTAAAGCAGCATCTTGATCACAAGTTCACCATCAAAGACCTGGGTCCACTCAAATACTTTCTCGGTATAGAGGTGGCACGCTCTCCTAATGGATTTGTTCTCAGCCAACGTAAATACGCGTTGGATATCTTAGAAGAGACTGGCATGCAAGGAAGTCGACCAAGTCCTTTTCCCATGGAGCAGAATCTTATGAAGTCCGACCCAGGCTCCGCCCCTGTAATCCTAGCGGTGTTCTCCGACGGTCCATCTAGGGCTTGTCCGACGTGTGGTGCCTAACGTGGTCTAGGGATTTTTGGGGGTGTGATTTGTCATCGTCAGCGAGGGGTCGATCAACGTGTTAAAGCAGAGGATTTTTAACACTCGAGGACGAGTATATATAGTAAGATGGAATTGCAGGGGTTTGGGAAACTTGGCTACAATACAAGTATTGGCTAAGTTGGTAAGGGAAAAGAGGTCAAAGATAGTGTTTCTAATGGAAACTAAGGCACATGAGGATCGATGCGAAGTAGTACGCAGGGAGCTTGGCTTCCAAGCCAAGGCCAAAGTAGGGGGCTTTTCTGTTATGGCTTGAAGATATTCAGGTGAGTGTTAAAGCTTTTGAAGTGGATTTTATTGATTGTAGTATGGTTCGGCTAGCCGAAGGGGAACCAAAGTGGAGATTTACGGGTTACTACGGATACCCAGAACCGCATAGAAGGAAGGAGTCATGGAACTTGATCCGCCGGTTGGCAAGTTTGGCAGACGTGCCATGGCTTATGACGGGCGATTTTAATGATATATTTGTGCATAGGGGCGGGCAAGAATCCCGGTCCCGTTGTCCCATTCCGGTATATCCCGAAACCGTACCGGTGTTGTCCTGTTCTGTTTGGGTCTCATTGATTTTGTCCCGCACCGGTCCCGTACCGGTTTAAAACGGGACGAGACCGGGACATTGGAAGGTCATCCCGAACCGCCCCGTTGTCCCGTTTGTAATAACTATATAGATTTTGTACCAAGTGACTAGTTTGTAATGTCAACTCAAAAAATAAATGATAACATGTTTTTAGTTTTTCAAGCCCAATTTTTAAATTAAAAATGATACCTGACATAAATATTTACTAACATAGGTTTTTATCTCACTTTATATATCTACATATGAGTATCTCACAACTAGAACACATAGATTTTGAATAAACTAATTCATTATTTCTTTGTTTTAAATTTAAATTTCAAATTTTGCTAAACCTAACTAAAATCTAATACGTAGTAGCTTTTAGCTTGTGATGAACATCAATTAACTTTTAAAATGTTAATATTTTGGTGCATGATATTTTAGAAATGCTAATATATATTAGTTACAAATGATTAATTTTTGTTAGTTTGGGACGTCCCGAACCGTCCCGAACTGTTCCGAATCATCCCGGTCCCGATTTAAATGGGACAAGACTAGGACAAAGGCTTGTCCCGTACCGTCCCGACCCATGCCCACCCCTATTTGTGCAAATGAACGTCGAGGAAGAATACCACAACCAAATTGGCTTATAAGAGGGTTCATGGAGGCAATATGGGAAAACAGTTTAAGCAATGTACCTTTCAGATTAGCAATGGACGTGGGAAAGAGGTAGGGGAACATCATGGTGGATCGAAGAAAAGCTTGACAGCATTGTGGCTAATTGGCCTGGGATCGGTTCGGTTTCTAAACAAAATATGTGGAACCGTTTGAAAATATCAAATTTTACTAACGGTTCAGTTCTTATAAATTATTTTATGGAACCGATAAGGAACCGAACCATTCTTAACGGTTCGGTTCTTGTCATTTAATGGTTCCTAGTCTTTAAAAAATTCTTACAAATCACTGTTAAATTTGTTCCAAAAAGACATTCAAAGTTCAGAATTACTCCATCCGGTTCTTAATTAAGTTCCTGGTTTGACTTCACACATATTAAGAAATAAATTTGACTTTACTGTGGAGTGCACTGTTTGGACACTGTTTGGCACTGTTTGAACACTGTTTGGCACTATTTCGCACTGTTTGACACTGTTTTGGTGTAAATCATTTGCCAAATAAGGAAAAGTTTGAAGTTGGAACTTTGATATGGACCATCCCGAAAAGGAAAGTACGAACTTAATTACGGGACGGAGGGAGTACAATATAAATACGTTAAACATCATTTCAAACCTCAAAAGTTGAGTTTAAAACATAAATACATAACAAATTGGAAATTTTAGTTAATAAAACAAAACAAGACATTCACTACACTCATCAATATAATTACTTGACAAATAAGTTCATATAATAAAATAGAAAGCTAATGAAGCTTGCCTATGAGAGCTGGTTGTCAATGAAGCCACAGAGAAGACATAATAGTAAAAATTAATTAGGGTTTTTGCCTAACATGTCATGAATGACCTTTCGGCCCTCTAGAGTTTGGATCTAATGAGTACTAATTAACTAGTTCTAGTAAAAATTAACTAGTATCTTTTGATCACATTAGTTTATGAATCAGTTTATGGTTGTATACTAATAAACTTCGTGTGGCTCACATAACATAGTTTTACACACAAATATTTCAAATACGAAGAGTGAAGAGATGCAAAAAGTTGCTGAATTTCCACCAAATTAAGAGGGTTTTACATGTGGTATACTTATCATAATATTTGCAGGGGCAATTGTTGTGTGTTTACCATAAATGTTGCTGAATTTCTAATGGTGGACAAAGACATGACTAAAGTTTCAAAGAAAGAGATGGAAAAGTACCGACAAGAAATGACGACAGAGCTGCGGATGTATACATCATGAGAAAAGGAGCTGGTTTAACATGATGTATTGATCTGTACCATAAATCCAACAGACTGACTAAGAAGTTTTGTAATAATTAGGTTTTGAAAAAGAAAGTACTTGTAAAACTTCTTTCGTTTGCTCATTAAGACTTCTCCATAAATAATGATATCATTTGGTTACGAATGCTTATTCATGTTTTATTTGATCTATTTTGGTGTCATATCAAATATAATGTTTGTTCATGTTTTATTTGATGTTGAGTTCAAGTGTAGTATATGCTTGAAGTCAGGAATATAGTACATGAGTAGACATTAATTAGTCCTTAATGGCAAAGCATAGACATTAAACTTGTACAATTAAAGTATGTACAAATACTAGTATAATAAACACATAAAACAAATGTGGAAATAGATTCAACTGTTGAAACAATGGTAAAATATATTTATCATTCATAAGAATAATACATATCACATGATTAGTACATAAAGTTGTTAAAGGTAAAAAATGAAATCTTATTTAGTATTATTCATAAAGGTCTTTCGAAATATGACTATCCAATGTCCCTTTTTGAACATTAAATTAGCATAATGACGAGACATGGTTAGATTACTAAGTAAGAAGAAGTGGGATGCTAAGTGCAATTTGATATAAATAGTGTATATAAACAGGCGACATAGTCATTAAACAACAGACAATAAAGAGACCTTAAATTTGAACATGTCTGCTACTTAAGTATGACAACCAAAAGTACATCAACTGAAACACCAGAAACCATGACATATAATTAACAATTTAACATAAATTTCAATGCCAACAAGCTGTGGCAGTTAAGAATAATGAGGGAAAAAGTAAAAGTCTTAGTCATGTTATTCTAGGAAATAAAAAATTGAATCCATAGAATATTATCAAACTAAGAACTACGAATTCATATAGGATTCTTGCAAGACTTCTTATTATGTCCACATTTGTTACACATTTGCGAACCAAGCTCTCTAGTTGAAGGAATACGCTTCTTTTTAGGTCTACCAGGTTGGCGGGTGAGACATGTTGGTGGTTTTCATATTCCAGATTGCACAGAAACATGAACGTCCCACTCCAAGAGAGAATCAAGGGTGTGAACTTCCCCACTATATTTGTGTGGTGGCTTGATGGTGGGGACCTTGTCTGCCATTAGGAGAAAATGTATGCAAATAATAAAACCTGCAATTAGTTGGACAGTAAATAGACATTAATAAGGCATTAAGTATATCGTACGTGATCATAATAGTACAATAACAAGAATAATGACAAAAAAAAGTTTCAGTATTACAAAACATAAATTGCTTTCTTATTTGAAACATTTGACATCCACTCAACCTCACCATACGCACAGTCCAATGACATTTATCATCAACGCAAACAACACGAAACACATTTGTATTTGATGGCCTTGTCTTACATTGGAAAAGATATGAAATAGCATACATTTTCAAATGAAAGTATATTGATTTTCTATCCTTGTATATAGACTCTCTAGCAATATGAGTAGGATGAAAGTGAGAGATCACTTGGATATCTTGAAAGTCCTGGAAGTCGTCTAAATCAAATTGTGCATTAACATTAACACCTTCAATATCCATAGATATAAAGAAAAGAATTCATTGGTAGAGCCAGAAGATAGTGTATGCAATGAATTACGTTAAGATGGAACATAATTATCAACATTCACATCATGGAAATCAAAATACATGTCGTCAATTTGTGGGGATGAAACAGAAACGGTGTGAAGACACAAGACAAAAGCATCTTGAAGTTGCTCAATTTCATCACTTATAGATACATTTAAATCAAGTGCAGGAAGTTCAGAAGAAAAGATGGCAGCAGTAGATGTGGACAAGGGACAAAACTCAATGTACAAAGGAAACTTACCATAATGAGGACATTCTTTAACCAAATAAGTAATGTTGATCCTTTCATTCGAAGCAAACATACTAGTGCATGAACATAATACACAAAAGTAGTAAAAGAAATATAAGATGTTTCATGTGGAACTATAAGCCCACAAATTCTTCCATTACAAAAAGTATGGGAATAGCATTATCAATATTTTGATCTGATTAAAAACAGGGGATTAAAAATTAAATAATTGAGTTTAGAATAGAGTTGATTAGCTAAAGTTCAGAATTCTACTCACAAGCGACATATATACAATGTTAGTATATGTAAAGTATATAATACACTACTACATGAATAAACAACTAATAAAAGAATAACAAGTACAAAGTGACAAGAGTTTCCATGAGCATAAACATGAGCTAATTGACTAATAAAACACAGACTAACTACATTAATAATACATTACATGAAGTAATTAAGCAAGAGCTTATATATTTAAAACATGTAAATATTTGCTAACATAATAGATGCAGATTAATCAAACAAAGCAGACGATGAAGAAATGAAGACGTGTATGATGAAAAAAATAGAGAGAAATACTTCAAATGTAGAGTTGAATAACACGATCTCAAGAAATTGAGCGAAAATTAGTATAAATGAATTAAGATCGATCGTTCAAATTACCTGAATTTTGAAGATGAACACTTGAAGAACAATTCAAGTATGATTCCATAAGTCGAATTCGTCCATAATTAATAGAGGATATGGACGTATTTCATCGGATTCATAGGCCGCTGTCGAATATGGAAGAATGGAAAAAATTCATAAGAATGCTGAAGAAGGAAGGCTGGTTGCGCGAAGGTTCTGCTCGTTAGCGATGTAAGGTATTTACTTTTAATAAATAGCTGAAGGGTAAAAGTGGAAAGTTAAAATCAATTAATCAAGTTTACTGAAATAGAACTAAATAGGTCGTAGGCATGGAAGAAACTTAAGCAGGTCCTATTTTTATAAAAGTGCTATGAATGGATCCCACTTGGAACAATTTTCTCAAATTATTTATATTAAAACAGTGTCAAACAATGCAAAACAGTGTTGAACATTGTCAAAATTCGAAAAAGTTTCAAAATAATAAAATGGGAAAGTTCCTGAAATAGGACTAAAACAGTTTGAAAATTCCAAAATAGGACTGCCATGTTTTTTATTCCTAAAATAGGAGTAATTACCGCCAAGTTTGAAAAATAATGCAATGTTTGAAGTCTGGTACTGCCAAAACATGGCAGTAATTAGTTCTATTTTGGGAATAAAAACATGTCAGTCCTATTTTGTAATTTTCAAACCTTTTTAGTCCTATTTTGGATAAATTCTCATAATTTTCCCAATAAGTTTATTTCCCTCGATACCTGTTAATCAAGCTATTACGGGGACGGAGGTACTATTTGGCAACGACACATCTCTCTAGTACACATCGAGAAAGTTATTGACAATCGGGGCAACGGAGTCGCGTGGTGCGATACGGTCAGTCGGTCAGTCATCTGAACTCGTACAGTTCATCTTTGTATTTTATCACCTGATTCACCACGATGAGTGAAAAAAGTTTTGCGAAAGAAACTCAAGAATCCGGAGAAAGTGATTTGCGCAAAGGAGAAGAATTTGTAGCTGAAAGTCTGGAAATTTATTCTAAAAATGTAAGGAAAAATAGTCGAATAAGGGATTCAATTGATAGGATCAGTGCATTACCGGATTGCTTACTTGTTCACATCATATCTTTTCTGGGTTTGAAGAAAGCTGCTGCTACAAGTATTCTGGCTAAAAGATGGCAGTTTCTTTGGGCTGAATTGCCGAGCCTCAAATTTGAATTTGCTGATTGGGGTAAGTATGAGGTAACTAAGACTACAACTGACTTTGTGGCTTGGGTTAATAGGATCATTGCTACTCGTCGTGGACATTATCTTGAAAAGTTGATAGTTGTTTTCCATTACAAGGAATGCTTTGCTCCGGATGTTGATAACTGGCTGGAATTTGCTATAAAAAATAAGGTGAAAGAAGTTACTTTGAATACTAGCTTCAGCGAACACTACATTCTCGGTGAAATGATGTATTGTAATTCATCATTGACATCATTGTCTTTGAAAGGATGCATTTTGGTTCCTGGAAGAACAATCGAGTGGTCATCTTTGACTAAATTACAGTTATCATTTGTGGATTTGCCTCAGTCTGTAGTTGAAAAGATACTATCAGGTTGTCCAGTTTTGAATTCTTTGGATCTGAGTCATTGTTGGGGATTCACTTGCTTGGAGACCAACTCTAAAAATTTCTGTCAGCTGCGGGTGTATGAAAATGAAAACGAAGGATATCAAGGAAGTCAAGCTCTCTTGCAAATTTCATCACTCTATATAAAACAGTTAAATCTCCGGTTGTCTCCTATACGAAGACAGTTGAAGCTAAAAAACATTGCATCCCTTGTTAGTGCTAGTTTTAATTATTGTGATCCATTTAGGCATTTAACCGCTGACGATGTGAGTAATGCGAAGGAAGTTTTTGAAAAGATTGAGCATGTCAAGGAGCTTGATTTGGGGCCTGGACCTGTTAAGGTGTGTACGATTCTTCTAGCTTCTTTGACATTCTTGTGTTACAAAAATTAAAATCAAATGATCTTCCTGACGAACTTTTAAGAAATGTCTGTGGAATTCATCTATGTTGTCTGAATGTGATCGTTCATTGGATATTTGTATATCTAAAATTTAATACTTGGCTGCTCATTGTTTTCAAAAGCAAACCTGATTATGAACCTGCTGTGTTGTTATTCTTCTACAAACATGGGGTTATACTGATAATAGGGCTGATAAACCACGTGGACAAATATGTCTCTCTTTTTCCTGTTTAGACTTATGAGAGAAAATACATTTAAATGAGGAAAACGGATTCAGAAGACAACATTATCTAAAGCCAAACCTGAGGAATAGATTAATATTCAAAAGTTATTTTCAGTGTTAGATGTATAAATGCAGATCTATCTCATCTTGTACTAGCTTCATCTTGTTTCGAGGTTCCCATTAAAAATGTCACGCTTTACGGGCAATAATTAAATAATGCAATTTGAGTAGAATTTGAAAAATGTTTCGCTGCGTATATATTATCATAAGATAATTGATGGTAATGATTTTGTTCTGTGTATTGTTAATTTTACTATTGGATGATAAAATTGTCATTTAGAGAGTTGATTATTTCCGATAACGGAAATAGGATCCTTGATATATGATGCCCGAAAGAGGCAAGTGAAAACCTTTGGAGGGAACATATTTTATGTATCTATAAAAGAGTTAATTTTTCTACATGTATACTAGGCTCTAGCTGGGTTGGTGCTTACTGGTTGGCTATTTCCAAAATATAAGCTAAGGTGGTTGAAAATGGAATTGTTACGTAATGCTTCAAAATCCATACCTGGCATCTTGGGTCTGCTGGAATCTTCACCAGACATTGAGACATTGGTCATAAGTGCTCAAGTCCCCTTTAGAGTAAGTATTAATTATTGACATCATTTTTTTGGTATGAAATATGAATATTATCTGATCTGGTTTCAGGTAATTATATTTGCTGTGTACTTGTAATATTTTATGATAAATTCTGTGTTTTCTCCACATGATTAAGGCTTGTCTTAAATTTGCTATGATTCCAGTTGGACCATGACTGGGCCCCACCTGCAAAGGATAATTTGGTTTGTGACTTATTGCGCTTGAAGACGATCAAATTCATTAGCTTGGTAGATCCACAACTTGATGGTGAACCATTGCTCACTTTGGCCCGAATCCTTCTTAAGAGGACACCAGTATTAGAAGAGATGAGCGTATATATCGATTGGGAACACATAGATAACTATGTCAAGATAGAACAAACCTTGCTCAGTTACCCTAGATCCTCACCAAAGGCTGTCATCCATCTATTAAATTGTTGACTTTTATGTGTTTAATTTCTCTATGTAAAGCATTTAGTATTCTCTGCCTGTTTTTTCTATTTTGCCTAACTTGCTACTAGTTGACTTTCAGTATTTGTGGTAGAAGATTATTAATGGGCATGTAAAAACAAACCTTTCCGTGCTGAATATCTTGGCACCTTTTGCTTGGTACCATTTCTTCGTTAGGGGTTGGTTTGCAACTGCTTTTAAAAAAACACTTCTTAGCTTTTGGCTTTAAAAAGAGATATTACCCGAAATAGGATTAAAAAAGTTTGATAATTCCAAAAATAGGACTGACATGTTTTTATTCCCAAAATAGGACCAATTACTGTCATGTTTTGGCAGTACCAGACTTCAAAAATGGCAGTATTTTCCAAATTTGACAGTAATTACTCCTATTTTGGGAATAAAAAACATGACAGTCCTATTTTGGAATTTCCAAACTATTTTAGTCCTATTTCGGGAACTTTCCCCTTTAAAAAAACACTTATTTTCCCAAACACTACAATTTTTATTTTTCTCGGCTTCTGCGTCAAAAGTGTTTTTACTTTTTCTGTTACACAAAAAACACTTATTTTACCAAACACTACCCAAATTTACTTTTCAAAATCACTTTCTTCTCAAACACTATCAACTTTTATTTAATCACTTCTCCCCATTTCATTAAAAAAAACACTTTTTTAAAAGCGGAAGCTGTTGCAAACAGACCCTATGTGTCATCCTATAACAATATATGGTTCTCGCCACTGATTTTTATGTATGTATCCATATATTGATAAATTAACATTAAAAAGTAGATTAATTGTCTCATCGTTGATCCTCATTGTGTATCACAATTTTTTTGTATCAATGTAAATAAAAACTAGTTCTTGATGAAAATCCAATAACTGCGTTGAAAATTATTTATCAAATTAAAATATGACATTACTCAAAAAAGTTATTTTACATCATTTTGAAACTATTAATAGATAGTGATTGTATCTATTTCGATCAGGTAGTAACTAATTTCATTATGTAGTTTTGGATGGCTTTCTCTTTTCTGATTTTCTGTTTTTTTGTGTGGGTAATATATAGAGTTTTTTCCCCGAATAATGCTAATTAAACAAATAACTAGAATTCCGCCCGTGCGTTGCACGGGATGTAGTTCAAATATAAAAATCTGAGGACATGTAAAATCATGAATTCTATTGTAAAGGTTTCCTATGACTTTTATTAATCCCTTAAAGGAAAAATAGAGCACAAGAGCGTATATGACCAAATCCAACTGTGTAACGTCAGCCTCTGATCATTGATTTTGCCGCCGCTCCAAGGTGATGGTTCAGGAGGGGGTCAATACTTCACCTTTCTTGTTCATCTCATCTTCTCTTCCCTTCTCTGACCTCTTTATGTCTCTTACATCATCGTTCATCATGTTTGGACCAGAACTGCCATTGTTTCTCCCAATCAAGGTTTGCATCTCCCATGATATGTTGCCTTTCGTCTACCCGCTGCTCTTTCGCTGAAGAAGCTAAACAAAAAAAATCAAACACTAACGACTTAGCGTGACTCCAAATCCCTAGCTGACAACTTAGTGCGGCTCCAAAACACTAACGCATGAAGGTGGTCACTTCCGCTTTTTGAACATGTGGTCTAAGTTTATTCACCAGAACCCATGTGTCATTGCATAATTCAATGAAATTGTGTATAATTAACCAAATTAGTTAAAAATTCGATTACATTACTAAGATCATGAAAATAACCAAATTAGCTAGTGAATCTTTGTAAATATAGTTAGATAAATTTATAAATATAACTCGAAAGAAATACTACCTCCGTCCCAAAAAGAGTTGTAAATTTGACTTTTCTTAGTCAAACAGTCTCGTTTTGTTCACTTAATTAGGATGTCGATTTTTAATTATTTTCTAATTTGGAGTTTACAATTTTGAAGAGATTTTAATATAGTTTTTGAATATGTAAATTTTAATTATTAAAAATTGAATTAATTATGCGTAAGGAGGGTTGACTTTTATTATTGGTTGACCAAAAAATGTTGACTTTGCAAAACAAATTGGGACGGAGGGAGTATTAGGTAGGCTACACTATTTACGGCAGCAATATTACGGCGTAACTGTTTTTAATATTCCATTCTATGAAAACAAATTCTTATATCTTTGAAATTAACATAGTTTTACTAAAAATAAATAAATTACACTCATACAATTACTTAATAAGGATGGACACATAATGGACCTCCAGTTTTGAGCATGTAAGGCTATGTTTGGCACAACGAACTGAAGCTGGAGGCTATTGTCTGAATTAGGGGCTGTTGTCTGAATCGGAGATTATTGTCTGAAACTTAACTGTGAAGTGCTGAATCTGAATAGCTAACTGAATGAAATATACTCGTTTGGCAAAAAGAGCTGAAAGAATGACCGGAAAATGTAAATTACAATAAAGGGCATAAAACATATTATTCAATCAATTTAATGTAATGATTTGCTTAGTATATTTTAATTTTAACAATATTAAGATTATACGGAGTAGTATACATTCTTTTTACACGAAGCTCCAAAAAAAACCTCCACTTTAACTTATCCAAATGCAAAATACAAAGAAAATATAGGAGGTTCCATAATCTTCTATAGTGTTCCAACACTTCATTAATGAAATTATTTGTTTGAAACATCAAACGATTCAATTGACTCTATGACATAAGCTGGAAGATGATCGCCGCATAAGTGATGAATCCTCGGAAGTGCAGCGTAAAGTCCCAGGACATATTCCTGGTGGCCAGGCGTCTTCCCCAAAAGGATTCGTTGATCCGGTGACTTGCAGGCCCTTCCTCACATAAGATTTTTGCGTTATTTTAGCATCATTTAGGGGGTAATTTTGGAATGTTTCTTATCATCTCTATAGACTGAATGGAAACGTTAGCTTTCTTAACGTTTTGCTTCAGACTGCCTTCAGCTCATTCAAATCAACATAAGCTCACTTCAGTTCATTGTCCAAACACCAATATTTGTTGAATAATAGGCTGAAGTTTTTAGATTTCAGCCCATTTTGAGCTGAATTGCGTATGCCAAACATAGCCTAAATATAGAACCTTAACTAAAAAACTTCAGTTCCAGTCCCCGAGTCGTACCTATTTTGATATTTGTACCTATTAGAAAACAAAACTGGTCAATCAATTTTGGTCCTGTTTTGGCATAATTGGGACTCGTTTGAACCGGTTCTTAATTCTTATGAACATTTTTAGTTTGAAACATAAAATTCAGGTAACATACACTCTCTTGTTTAGGATCTGGTTCCAACCTAAATTAGCACCAAATACCATACTTTAATGTAGCAATAATTATAATTTGTAATAGTTGATACAACAAAATACTTTAGATCAAAACACCTAAATTATTCAAAAAAACAAGTCGGGTTCTAATTGCTCTACCTACAAATTATAGTTATAGAACAATGACTCTAGATTATAGTTATGAAGATCTCATATGTGAATTCAACAAAGATGGTTTCTATATAAGTGATAAGTATTGTACTTTCCCATGATCTCTCTATCTTTACCCCTGAAGTTTATTTGTGGTTAATGCTTGGATGAAAATGTAAATAATTATGCTGCTATAAATGCCATCCTGCGGAGGACACCTCTGTGCCGATTTTGGAGTTCCAACTTCCTCATATTTAAGAGATGCATCTGCAGTAATAGAATGGTTAATTACTAATCATTTCAAATGACCAACAATTAAATTTGACTGAAAATGTAAACTGTGATGAATTATTTATCATTCCAAATGACCAACAACTAAATTTGACCGAAATTATAAGCCTAATGATATACTTAAAAATCTTGAAGATAAAAAGTAAATACTTTCTGCAAACAGAGCAATCGACAACATACGTAATAATCGTGAACAACTAATATAGAACAGAACAAGGAAACAATATTTTATTATTCAACGGCAAACTTGTGTACAACCGAGATGCCAAGAGGAGCTAATATACTTAAGTGGCATAACAATAAAAGGAAAGGCAATATTACACATTATTGCAAAATAAGTGCTATGACAAAAAATGATTGTCCCCATAAATAGTTAGTCCGTATAATACCCCCTCAAGTTGGAGCATGAGGATTGATAATGCCCAACTTGCGAAGTAGATAATGGAACTGAGTCTTGCCAAGGGCTTTAGTGAAAAATATCGGCAAGCTGAACAGTAGTAGGGACATAGCTAGGAGCAATAAGACCGTCTTTGATAGCATCTCGGACAAAGTGACAATCGACTTCAATATGCTTTGTGCGCTCGTGAAAGACGGGATTACGAGCGATATGTAATGCAGCCTGACAGTCACAAAAGAGAGGAATAGCCTTGGGGTGCTAAATACCAAGACTCAAAAGCAGGGCCTTTAACCATTTGAGTTCACATGTGGCTGCAGCCATGGCACGATACTCAGCTTCAGCAGATGATTGTGACCCAGTAGATTGCTTTTTAGTCTTCCAGGAGACGGGTGAATGTCCCAGAAAACCAACCATCCTGATAGAGAACGGCGTGTGATGGGGCAAGCAGCCCAATCTGAATCACACCATCCTGTTAAAGATAAATCACTGTCAGCCCGAAGTAGGATCCCTTGTCCAGGAGAGCCTTTAAGATAGCGGACGACACGAAGAGCAGCATCCCAGTGAGCCTGACATGGAGACTGCATAAATTGAGACAGAATGTGCACGGAGTATGCCAGATCAGGGCGAGTAACAGCCAGATAAATGAGTCGTCCAAGTAAGCGACGATAAGGTTCAGTATCAGAAAGTAGAGGTCCTTCAATTTTGGCAAGAGAGTGATTTTGATCAATAGGAAAAGCAGCCGGTTTGGCCCCCAAAAGACCAATTTCAGTGAGAATATCCATAGTGTATTTTCTCTAAGTAAGAAATAAGCCAGATGGACTTCGCGCTACTTCAATACCAAGAAAGTAGCGAAGTGTTCCCAAATCTTTCATATGAAAACAAGTACTAAGGTATTGTTTAAAATGAAGAATAGCCTCCTCGTCATTACCAGAAATAATCAAGTCGTCAACATATACCAGAACATTCAGCTGAACGGATCCCCCGAGTCCGAGTGAATAAAGAATAATCAGCATATGATTGAATAAAACCATAGGCACGAAGAGCCCCAACTAATTTTGCAAACCAACAACGGGGGGC